TGCTAACCACCAGATTAGCTGATGCCCTGATTGCCATCAATATATGTGAGACGACAGATGCAGCGTATGAACGCTGCTAAACTCATCTTGTCTTCTTTCTCTTACTTCAGATATTCCAGAGCCGCTGCGTATGAAGGCGATGACCAAGGCGATCGCCCTGTTGCCCGATGAAAACCGAGAAGCTCTTCAAACGCTTCTTTATTACCTCACCGAAATCGCGGCTTCCTCGAGCGCCAATCAGGTACTTACAGAATCAAGGTGGCTGTTGCAAATCCGCCTAGAAACTGTTTACTCTGCGCTTATAAGTTTCGTGTTTTTCTCGAAGTTACGTAATATAATATGGCGTTCGTTTCACTCATTTTCCCTGCTGTTGGTAGCCAAAAATGAATAAATGGATGAAGGTGATACTGAAGAGTATACTGTTCATTTTCTTTGTCGTTCATACTTCAGAAGTAGTAGCAGTAGTCTGCCTGTTTTGTTCACCGACCAGCTCTAATCCATCGCTGGTGACGGAATCAGCGCAGCACTTCCATTTAGACGCATCAATAAGGTTTTTTCAAGTATTATGCAAATAGTAGCGGCACTGCCCGGGTATTCCTAAAAAATATTTCTCTGTTCTGAACTCAGTGTTCCCTTCGAGTTGCGAACCACAGCACGGTATCCTTGATCGTTTGCCAACGAAATAAATTTTTCTAGGTAGACTCTGTTTTAGGCACACTGTTTCTAAATCTATGCGCCGACCTCTTGCCTTGTAGTTTAGTAAGGAGAGCCCTGCAAATTTTTCTTGTGACATCCTTGTTCATTAACAGGAAATTTTTCATCTATTCATTTAAAACAGGTTAATGCATGACGTATGAATGTTCATGAAAATGTAATTAAAAAATTGCAAATCTGAGTCAGTAGTCTATATGTTGTCATTTTATAAAGACGTTTTTCTGTGTTTTATTAGATGTAGTCTTTTGTCGTGGTTGAGTATCAGTCGGTTGTTTGTTTCAGATGAACTCGAGAAATCTCTCCGTCTGTTTCGCCCCTTGCCTATTCCATCTGAACTTTCGGACCAACTGCTTACCGAACCGCTGGCGCCAAAAGCTGTCCCAGCCTGGGCTGCCAAGACGAAAGCAATTGCTCGAAATCAGGGCCGCGCAATCGTGTCTCAAGTCGATGATCGAGAACTATCATAGTTTATTCACGGTATGTCTCTGTTCACTTAAGTTTGCTTGCTAACAAATGTTCACTTTACAATTATGTTTTAAAAAGTATTAGTGTTAGCTAAGTGCGGCTTTTCATAGTCCTTAAAAGAAACGGTTACCCTAAGGTATGAATGTGGTATCGACATGACGCAAAATGTTTATTTTTTACATAAGCATGGCCAGTGGTGATTGTCGGATTTTTTAAGGGGCGTCTTTTGCATTGACCAAGAAAGAAGCCTTGGTGAATTTCTCGTCGTGTAGTCTACCCTCTGAATGCAAGTTCGACGACTGATGGATTACGTGGATTGAGGATCAAAATAGTACTGAATCAATAATTTCCAGAAATGGAAAGAAACCTATATCATTCATGCCACTTTTATAATCGAGACCTGCGAAATTCGATGCAAATTCAGTACTTGACATCGTCATCAGGTTGACACCTTTACATATTAAGAAGGCTTTCATGTCTAAGGGACTCTGAAGACGTTACTGGCCAAAGTATAGACAGATGTTCCTGGTCCCGTCGTCATCGATAGAGATGAGACCAAGAACATTCAGTTTACAAAACCATTATCCAGTCAGTTAGAAATGATTATGCATACTGTCCTTTGCCTGAACCAACAATGGAAGGGTCGAATCTTAGGCAGAA